GACATCTGCGCGTGGGTAGGGGTGATGACAGTGTGAGTAGTTGGAGTCACCAAGGAGGTGGAGAAAGATGGACCGTGAGTGGGAAGTGTGGTCTGAGGGTGTGATGGGGTTGGATAGGTAGTGGTGGTCTGGAAGGATGTTGCAGTCTTAGGACCTGTGGAAGAGACGGGACTACTCTCTGTAGGTGGGGAGTGTGTGGTGAAGGTTGTGGGTAGCCTGCTGCTGGTGGCCGAGGTGGTGTGGACCACAGGGGTGCCGGTTCCTGTACTGGTGGGGTTGGGGGTGATGGTGGTAGAAGTTGGGGTAACTTCAGGATGGTGTGTGGAGGAAGTGTGTGACTGTAGGGGTGTAGAGGTTTTGGCTGTGCTGAATGAGCTGTGTGCTTGGCTGGTCCCACTGGTGGTCGCTGTCATTGGTGGGGCTGTGTGGGTGGAACCTGTAGCCTTGACCGTTGTCGGTGGAGGAATGGTGCCTGTTGGCGTTGAGTGGATGGAGGTAGAAGTGGACATCTGTGTGTGGGTAGGGGTAATGACTATGTGAGTAGTTGGAGTCACCAAGGAGGTGGAGAAAGGTGGAACGTGAGTGGGAAGTGTGGTCTGAGGGTGTGATGGGGTTGGATAGGTAATTGTGGTCTTGAACGATGTTGCAGTCATTGTACCTGTGGAAGAGACGGGAGTGCTCCCTGTAGCTGGGGAGTGTGTGGTGAAGGGTGTAGGTGGCTCGCTGCTGGTGACTGAGGTGGTGTGGGCCACAGGGGTGCCAGTTCCTGTACTGGTGGGATTGGGGACGATGATGGTAGAAGTTGGGGTGACTTCAGGATGGTGTGTGGAGGAAGTGTGTGAATGTAGGGGTGTAGAGGTTTTGGCTGTGCTGAATGAGCTGTGGGCTTGGCTCTTCCCACTGGTGGTTGCCGTCATTGGTGGGGCTGTGTGGGTGGAACCTGTGGTCTGGACCGTTGTCGGTGGAGGAATGGTGCCTATTGGCACTGAGTGGATGGATGTAGAAGTGGACATCTGTGCGTGGGTAGGGGTGATGACAGTGTGAGTAGTTGGAGTCACCAAGGAGGTGGAGAAAGGTGGAACGTGAGTGGGAAGTGTGGTCTGAGGGTGTGATGGTGTTGGATAGGTAGTGGTGGTCTGGAAGGATGTTGCAGTGATAGGACCTGTGGAAGAGACGGGACTGCTCTCTGTAGGTGGGGAGTGTGTGGTGAAGGTTGTGGGTAGCGTGCTGCTGGTGGACGAGGTGGTGTGGGCCACAGGGGTGCTGGTTCCTGTACTAGTGGGGTTGGGGATGATGGTGGTAGAAGTTGGGGTGACTTCAGGATGGTGTGTGGAAGAAGTGTGTGAATATAGGGATGTAGAAGTTTTGGCTGTGCTGAATGAACTTGGGGCTTGGCTGGTCCCACTGGTGTTTGCTGTCATTGGTGGGGCTGTGTGGGTGGACCCTGTGACCTTGACCGTTGTTGGTGGAGGAATGGTCCCTATTGGCACTGAGTGGATGGAGGAGGAAGTCGACATCTGTGTGTGGGTAGGGGTGATGACAGTGTGAGTAGTTGGAGTCACCAAGGAGGTGGATAAAGGTGGAACATGAGTGGAAAGTGTGGTCTGAGGTTGTGATGTGGTTGGATAGGTAGTGATCGTCTTGAAGGATGTTGCAGTCATGGGACCTGTGGAAGAGATGGGGTTGCTCCCTGTAGCTGGGGAGTGTGTGGTGAAGGGTGTAGATGGCTCGCTGCTGGTGGCTGAGGTGGTGTGGGCCACAGGGGTGCCGGTTATTCTACTGGTGGGGTTGGGGGTGATGGTGGTAAAAGTTGGAGTGACTTCAGTATGGAGTGTCGAAGAAGCATGTGTGTGTCGGGATGTAGAGGTTTTGGCTGTGCTGAATGAGCTCGGGGTTTGGCTGGTCCTGCTTGTGGTTGCTGTCATTGGGGGTGCTGTGTGAGTGGACACTGTGCCTGTGGCCTTGACCGTTGTAGGTGGAGGAATGGTGCCTGTTGGTGTTGAGTGGATGTAGGCAGAAGTGGACACCTGTGCGTGGGTCGGGGTGATGACTGTGTGAGTACTTGGAGTCACTGAGGAGGTGGAGAAAGGTGGAATGTGAGTGGGAAGTGTGGTGTGAGGTTGTGATGGGGTTGGATAGGTAGTGGTGGTTTGGAAGGATGTTGCAGTCAAAGGACCTGTGGAAGAGATGTGACTGCTCCCTGTAGGTGGGGAGTGTGTGGTGAAGCCTGTGGGTAGCCTGCTGCTGGTGGCCCAGGTGATGTTGGCCACAGGGGTGCCGGTTCCTGTACTGGTTTGTTTGGGAGTAATGGTGGTGGTAGAAGTTGGGGTGATTTCTGGTTGGTGTGTGGAGAAAGGGTGTGAGTGCAAGGATGTAGAGGTTTTCGCTGTGCTGAAAGAGCTGTGGGCTTGGCTGGTCCCACTGATGGTCACTGTCCTTGGCGGAGTTTTGTGCGTGGATCCTGTGGTCCTGAAGGTTGTTAGTGGAGGAATAGTGCCTGTTGGTGACAGGTGGATGAAGGTGGTAGTGGACACCTGTGCATGGGTAGGGGTGATGACTGTGTGAGTGCTTGGGCTCACCAGTGAGGTGGACGAAGGTGGAATGTGAGTGGGAAGTGTGGTCTGAGGGTGTGAAGTGGTTGGATAGGTAGTGGTGGTCTTGAGTGTGGTAGTCACAGGACCTGTGGAAGAGATGGGAATGCTCCCCGTAGGTGGGGAATGTGTGGTGAAGGGTTTGGGTGGCCCGCTGCTGGTGGTCAAGGGGCTATGGACCACAGTGGTGCTGGTTTCTGTACTGGTGGGATTGTAATTAATGGTGGTGGTAGAAGTTGGGGTGATTTCAGGATGGTGTGTGGAGGAAACATGTGAGTGAAGGGATGTAGAGGTTTTGGCTGTGCTAAATGAGCTGTGGGCTTGGCTTGTCTGAATGGTGGTTCCCGTCATTGGTGGGGTTGCGTGCGTGGACCCTGTGTCACTGACCGTTGTTGGTGGAGGAATGGTGCCTGTTGGCGTTGAGTGGATGGAGGAGGAAGTGAACATCTGTGTGTGGGTAGGCGTGATGAGGACTGTTTGTGAGTTACCTGGGAGTCCCGAGGGGAAGTGGAGAAAGTGGGGAACGTGAGGGTGGGGAAGTGTGTCTGAGGGTTTGTGATGGTTGTGATAGATAGGGGTGGTCCTGGAAGGGGAGTGCAAGTCATAGACCTGTGAGAGGAAGTACTGGCTCCTGTAGTGGGAGGTGTTGGAATGGGTGTGGGGTGTCCCTGCTTGCTGGTGGCCGACGGTGGCGTGAGTCACAGTTTGGTGCTCGGTGCCTGTACTGGTGGGGACTTGGGAGTATTTTGTGGTGGTACGAAGTGGGGTGATTTCTGGATGATGTGTGGGAGAGGGTTGTGAGTGGGAGGGATGTAGATGGTTTTGGCTGTGATGAATGAACTCGGGGCTTGGCTGGTCCTACGGTTGTTGCTGTCATTTGGTGGGCTTGTGGGGTGGACTGTAGCCTTGACTGTTGTCTGTGGATGAATGGTGCCTGTTGGCATTGAGTGGATATCAGGCCAGAAGTGGACCATCTCTGGTGTGGGTAGGGGTGATGGACTGTGTGAGTACTTGGGTCACTGAGGAGGTGGAGAAAGAGGAACTTGAGTGGGAAGTGTCTGTGTTGGTCTGAGGGTGTGATGGGTCTTGGATAGGTAGTGGTGGTCTTGAAGGATGTTACAGTTATAGGACCTCGTGGAAGTTGATGGTCTGCTCCCTGTAGGTGGGGGAATGTGTGTGGTGAAGGTGGTGTGGCTCACTGAATTCAAAGGTGTGGGGGTTGGCGGAGTGGGTCGTTGCCGGGCTGGTCTGACTAGTTGACTTGGGAATAATGGTGTAAATGGGGCCCGGGGGGGGAGTGTTTCCAGATGGGTGTGTGGAAAGGCTGGTGATGATATGTAAGATAAAAGGTTTTGCTGTGTCTAAATGATCGCACTGCTTGCTCTGACCGGAATGGTGGTTCCCGTAGTGTTGGTGTTTGCGTACGCTGTTCGCTGACTGTTGTGAAATTGCCCTTCTTGATGTGATGAGGAATAACATGCTGTGTGTGGTAGGCGTGATGACTGTGTGAGTACCTGGAGTCCACCGAAGAGGTGGAGAAAGGTGGACGTGAGTGGGAAAGTGTGGTCTGGAGGGTGTGATGGTGTTGGAGTAGGGCTCGGTGATCTGGAAGGATGTTGCAGTCATAGGACCTGTGAAGAGAGGGTACTCTCCATGGTAGTGGGAGTGTGTGGTGATGTGTGTTCTGCTGCTGTGCCTCGAATGCTGGTCACATGTCTGGTGCCTTACTGTGTCTGTATTTGTTGTGGTAGAAGTTGGGGTGATTTCTGGATGATGTGTGGAGGAAGGGTGTGGAAGTGGAGGGATGTAGAGGTTTTGGCTGTGCTGAATGAACTGTGGGCTTGACTGGTCCTACTGGTTGTTGTGTCATTGGGTCGGGGCTGTGTTGGGTGGACCCGACCATGTAGCCTTGACTGTTGTTCTGGGTCGTAGATGCACTCCGGTGCCCTGTTGGCGTTGAGTGCGGAATAGTAGGCAGAAGTGGAATCTCTGTGTGGGTAGGGTGATGACTGTGTGAGTAGCTTGGAGGTCAGCTGGAGGAGGTGGAGAAAGGTGGAACGTGAGTGGAAGTGTGGTCTGGAGGTGGGATGGGGTTGAAGTAGGTAGTGTGAGTCTTGGAAGGAGTGTTACAGGTTATAGGAATGTGGAATGGTGATGGGAGTGCTCCGTGTAG